AGAGACGAGGCTGGGGGGGCGGGGGGGGCGGCTGGGCCTCTCCCCCAGGCTCTGTATGGACTGGGGAGGGAAAGCGGGGTGTTCTCCAGGGTCCTGACCTCTGCTCCCTGTTTCGCAGAGTGCCTGCGTGCTGTGCCCCCGGGTTATGACGACCCCCAATAAAGGAAACAAGGCCTTGAAGGTGAGCAGCGGGGTGGATGGAGTCCTGAGGCAGGGGTGCCTCCAGGGTGGGCGGTCCCCCGCTCAGCCTTGACCCCGTGCACTGCCCTGCCCCCAGGTGAAGCGGGAGCCAGGTGAGAATGGCACCAGCCTGACTGATGAGGAGCTGGTGACCATGTCGGTGCGGGAGCTGAACCAGCACCTGCGGGGCCTGTCCAAGGAGGAGATCATCCAGCTGAAGCAGCGCCGGCGCACGCTCAAGAACCGCGGCTACGCCGCCAGCTGCCGCGTGAAGCGGGTGACCCAGAAGGAGGAGCTGGAGAAGCAGAAGGCGGAGCTGCAGCAGGAGGTGGAGAAGCTGGCCTCGGAGAACGCCAGCATGAAGCTGGAGCTCGACGCGCTGCGCTCCAAGTACGAGGCCCTGCAGAACTTCGCCAGGACGGTGGCCCGCAGTCCCGTGGCACCGGCCCGGGGCCCCCTCGCGGCCGGCTTGGGGCCCCTCGTCCCTGGCAAGGTGGCTGCCACCAGCGTCATCACGATAGTAAAGTCCAAGACGGACGCCCGATCGTAGGGACGCGCGCTTGCCCGGGCGGGTCTGCAAGGGGCCATTAGGCGCATGGCGAGTTTGGCAGCCCTGTCCCCTTCTTCCTCCTCTCCTCCTCTTCCTCTCCTGCCTCCTCCCTTCCCTGCAAAGCACAACCTGCACCCCGGGGCGCCGGGCTGAGCCCCTTTGATCTCGTCGTTGTCATCGTGTGTTTTGTACGTTGGGATTGGTCAGTTCGGCGGTGACGTGGGGTTGCCTCGGCCCCCTTTGTACCAAGGCCGTGCAGGCTTGGAGTCCAGAGTTGGCCCTGTGGCAACAGAGAAAGATCGGATGAGCTCTCTGGGGCTCGCGGTTCTGAGTAGGGAGGGCTGCTGTCCGCTCCTGGGTGGCCCACAGGCCCCGACAGCTGCTGCCTGGCAGGGGGCTGTGATTCACTCTCAGCGCGGCCAGCAGGCATAGATGGGCTCTGCTCCTAAGAGTAGGGTGTCCTTGGGGGCCCTGGATGGGCCTGGACGGGCGGGCCACCAGCCTGGGCGCTATGGCCGCTGGGAGGGACGGGGCGTTATGTGGCTTTGGGCCAGGGCCCACGGCGCTCAAGCCTGACGCATTGCACTGAACAAGACCAAATCACTGGTTGTGAACATTCGTGAAGGGTGTGTCCAGTGTCCTGCGACGGGTCCCGTGTCACTGTTTACATGACCTATCTGTGTGGTTACGTGGCCCTTTATTTAAAAGAGAGGAGTTCCTTTTACGAAGTTATTAAATTATATGTTTAAAAGCTAAAGAAAAAAAAGAGCTGCAGAGTATTTATAAAACTGTCTTTTTAAAAAAAAAAACAAGCAAGAACATTTGACCATATATATGGAAAAGGGAAGAAAGTATAATAGAAACTTTGCTAGTTTAACAAAAGAAAAAAAAACAAACAAAAAAAATCCCTTTCTTGTAAACTTATGGACAAGTCTTTGTGGCTGTTGGAGTTTAGTTTTTATATACACAGAGTTATCAGACGTTATTTATAAAACTTAGTTTTAAAAAAGACAAAAAAAAAAAAAAAAAAAAAAAAAAAAAAAAAAAAAAAAAAGAAAAGCCAAGCTGTGGGCGACCACAAGGCGCATCCTGGCGCCCTCTTTGCTATCTCTCTTGCAATTGTACCGAAAGTGACTTACTCCTTTGCCCTTCCTGCTTCCGTCTCTTGCCGGTGCCGTGGTGTCGTCCGTGCCTGGTGAGGTCTTGTGCAGCGTCACGTGCTGGTGCTTCTGGTGACCTTTGACCTGTGGGTGTCACTTCTTGTGTCTGTTATTCCTGTGTTTGTTTTTTGGATTTGGTTGTGTGTTTGCTTCTGCCAGCTTGCCGGCCCGGACTGGGGCGCTGGGCGACTCCCGCTC